CCCTAAAGCACAGCTGGATGATCGTCAGAGGGAATCACTTTAAACTCAGTGGAAAAAATCAATACAGGAATAAGACTAAAAAGTGAATATGTCCTTGTTTGTGGATTAAGAAGTCTGCAAAAGTCAACACAGACATTATGTAGTTAAGATATAGATTTAAGTGTGGGGGATTAGGCCTGACCACGAGCGGTCTGTTTGAATGAGGGGCAGATTTCTCAAGGACGTCTCAGGGTAAAGTGGGCTCTGTAAATGTGTTTGAGGTGAGAGAATATCTCAGATACTTAACAGGATGTTTCACACCTTTAAAATTAAATTTAGTAATCTGAGTAATCGACTACATCAAGACTCTGGAGGATATTAAACATACTGAGAGTCGTTTAAATAAAAAGGAAAAAACACAGAGGAAAGTCAGAGTCGTAACTGAGAAACAACCATTTCTTGGAAGCAACAGTTCTTCCCAGTGTTGGAACATTTGCTGTCAATGTGGATTTCAACGACTAGGAATCCTATGCTTGGTTAGCATGGGGGGGGGGCATCTATGTTGGAGTGTCCTGTATGTGTTAGACAGTAATTTTGGGGCTTTTGAGATCAGGTGGTTGTATTGGAGATTATGCATCGGAGTTTCAGGAGCAGGACCACGCCTCCAAACACGCCTCCAAACACGCTCCGGTTCCCTCAGTTCTGCAAGCTGATCGTTCTCGTTCACGTGCCCCTCCCTCTTTGTTCTCAATTCTTTAACTTCTTCTATTTAGTGCACGAGGATCTGTCACCAGTCGCCTTCGAGGTCTTCCCCAAACCGCAGCTCAACCCATGTCAACGCATCACCTTTACCAACTAAAACGCTGTCAAAACTAAAACGAGGCCCAGCGAGTGAAATTGGACTTGATTAGTGTGAGGTAGCGATAAGACGACAGCATCAGCAGACTGCTCAAGTTTCTTCTTGGTGTGTTTTATTTTCTGTCATCTTAAAAAACCCCGGTTGTCCAAACCTCACTGGTTTTGTAAACACTTGAACCTCATCAGTCTCTGATCAGGTTAGCCAAAAACAAAACACTGTTCATCTATCTTACAAACTCGTTTACACTCAAATGGTTTCAAACACTTTATGCAACTCAAAAAGCTTAGTTTGTACCCAGTGATGCAGTCAGTGACATCATAAACAGGAAGTGCTGGGCCGGCCCCGCCCACACAGCTGCTCTGAACAAAGGGACAAACAATGGTCAGTGTAACCACGTCAACGAGCATAATTCAACAAAAATGTTCCTTTAACAGAAAAATGACCTGATGGTTCAACAGTGTTAACTTTAAAAACATGATGTAAACTGTGACCACAAACTAACCTTTGATAGTAAGTAGAGCAAAGAACAGCAAACTAAAGCATCACGGCTTTAGTTCAGACGTAGTGATGAAAGTTCGTCCTGCTTCATCTTTGCTCCT